TTGTATTAGGGAAATCATTCATAATGTTGTGCTGCTCTCTGCAGGGAGGAAAACAACCCCTAGTGACAAAGCAAAGGCTTGTAAAATGTGCCCGCGCGCTCATTGGTGGAAGCGGCAGCTCGGTGATCAACTCTGATTGGCTGATTCGCCGACCAATCAGCGCATCTGTATCCAAGTCAACTTGGAATGTTGAGCTATTTAAATCCAGAGAAGGTGGATCTGATAGATTGAATTATACATTAGGATTCGCTTGATTGAATGTATGCTCGCTCGCTGTGGGTGTTGAAAGTGACAAGCGTTAGCTGAGTATTTTTGTAGGGGAGATATTTGGTTTGCAGAATTTTCAGTCAAATACGTGATACGTCACCAACGTCAAGCTGTTTGAGGTATTACATGTTGTAACACCATTAAAAGACGTCTTTTGAGTAACATCAGGTACAATTATTTAAAATGTAATGTTCAGGTAGACCTTTCACATTGATTTGCCCTTTGCTTGTGTCAGCAGAATGAAATCGAGGCTCTTGACTGAGTTTTCATCGCCCTCTGCTGGTTAAAAAAACGAGTACATGTGAAAATACCTTAGTGAATAAATTAAATTTTATTAATTACATGTAAAATTGTGTATTAAAGTATATCATATATTTAAATATAAACCCCTCCTCATAATTTTTAAATTGTTTCAATATTTCCTATAACTTTTTCATCTTCTGGAGAAAGTTTCTTTTAGTTTGGTAGTTAAGCTGGGCCAGTTGGCGTTTCTGTGTGGAGTTTGCATGTTCTCCCTGTGTTTAAGTGGGTTTCCTCCGGGTGCTCTGGTTTACCCCAAAGTCCAAATACATGCAGTATAGGTGAATTAGGTAAGCTAAATTGGCCGTAGTGTTTTCCAGTGATGGGTTGCAGCTGGAAGGGCATCCGCTGTATAAAACATATGCTGGAAAAGTTGCTGGTTCATTCGGCAGTGGCGACCCCTAACTAATAAAGGGAGTGAGCCGAAAAGAATATGAATGAATAATTGACTACAGAGCAAATCACTGTTGTCCAATGACTTTGCAGTTAAACATGACTTTATGCTCAATACTGGTGTCTTTGCAAGCAACTAAAGTTAGACAAACACAAAAGAAATTTGTTATTAGAAATTACTTGTTATGTTAACTGAGTTTTCATCGCCTTCTGTGGGTTAAAAAACAAATAGATGTAAAAATATAAAGGTTCAAATACCTTGATTGAATTAAATAAATTATATTAATTCTATATTAAACAATATAATAAAGTACATCATATGTTTAAATAAATAGCCCTCCTGTTTATTTTTTTTTATTCTTTTTCAAATATTTTCTAATGAATGTTTAAGGAAGCAAGACATCTATCACAGTATTTCCTATAATATTTTTTCTTCTGGAAAAAAGGCATTTAGTTTGGCTGGGAAAAAAAATCCTTTTAATTTTTTTATTGTTTTAAAATGTCTTATATACTTTTTCTTCTGGGGTAAGTATCTTTTAGTTCAGTTGTAACAAAAGCAGTTTAAACATTTTTTTTGACGACAATTTATTTATTTACTTGTTTTACTACAGAACAAATCACTGTTGTCCAATGACTTGCCTATATTAACTAAGAAAATATTAATATATATATTAATAAGAAATTTGTTATTAGGAATTAGTTATTAAAATTGGTATGTTAACAAAGTTTTCGTCACCTTCTGCAGATTAAAACACAAATAGATGTAAAAATATAAAGGTTCAAACACCTTGGAATGATTAATTATTCAATTATTTTGTATCAATTATATATTAAAATGTGTATTAAAGTATATATTTAGTTATGTAGCCCTCCTGTTTATTTTATTTTATTTTTTCAAATATAAAATAAAAAAAGGGAGCAAGAAACTTAACACAGTATTACCTATCATATTTTTTCTTTGGGAAAAAAAAGTCATTTAGTTTGGCTGTAAATTAAAAAAAATCCTCTTAATTTTTTATTGTTTTATTATTTCCGATAAGGCTGCACAGTGGTGGAGAGGGTAATACAATCACCTCACAGCAAGAAGGCCGCTGGTTCGAGTCCCGGCTAGGCCAGTTGGCATTTCTGTGTGGTTGCATGTTCTCCTCGTGTTGGCTTGGGTTTCCTCTTCCTCATAAGCCCAAAGACATGCTGTATAGATGATTTGAATAAGCTAAGTTGGCCATAGTGTGTGCAAAAGTGTGTTGGTGTTTCCCAGTGTTGGGTTGCGGCTGGAAGGGCATCCACTGCGTGAAACATTTGCTGGATAAGTTGGCGGTTCATTCCGCTGTTGCGACCCCAGATTAATAAAGGGACTAGGTCGAAAAGAAAATGAATGAATGAATATTTCCTGTCATTTATTTTTCTTCTGGAAAAAAAGTTTCTTTTAGTTTGATTGGAACAAAAGCAGTTATTAATTTTTTTTGACGACAATTCAAATATTTTTTTTCAATTAACTACAGAACGAATCGCTGTTGTCCAATGATTTTCCTATATTAAACTAGTTAAACTGCACTTTAAGCTCAATACTAGTATCTTGCAAGCAAATAAAGCTAGTTGCAAGCTAGTAAAATAGTATGTACTGTCATCATGGCAAAGACGAAAGAAATTAGTTATTAAAATTGTTATGTTAACTGAGTTTTCATCGCCCTCTGCAGGTTAAAAAACTAATAGATGTAAAAATATAAAGGTTCAAACACCTTGAAATGATTGATTGAATAAATTATTTTGCATAAATTAAATATTAAAATGTGTATTAAAGTATAACACAATTAAGTAGCCCTCCTGTTTTTATTCATTTTTTTTTTTAAAGAAATATTTCACAGTATTTCCTTTTTTTTTTTCTTCTTGGAAAAAAAAAAGTCATTTGATTTGGCTGGACTTTTTCATTTTTATTTTTAAATTAAACAACAATTAACATATTACTTTCAGATTGGCTACAGAACATCCCAGTTTAATAACACTAAATTTAATTCAATTCATGTTTATTTCTATTGCGTTTTTTATAATGTAGATTGTGACAAAGCAGCCTAACATAGAAGTTCTAGTAAACTGAAACTGTGTCAGTCTACTTTTCAGAGTTGAAGTTCGGTTTAGTTCAATTCAGTGTGGTTTAATTTTCACTGGTTTCCTATAGGTGCTCCGGTTTACCCCACAGTCCAAACACATGCGCTATAGCTGAATTGGGTAAACTAAATTGTAGTGTATGAGTGTGAATGCAGGAGTGTATGGGTGTTTCCCAGGGTTGCTGCTGGAAGGGCACCAGCTGCGTAAAACATATGCTTGATAAGTTGGTGGTTTATTCTGCTGTGGAAACCCCTGCATTAGTAAAGGGTCTAAACCAAAAATAATAATAATAATAATTATTAATGAAGTAAACCTGTTGTTTTAAAAACAACTAGTTGGCTTTACTTTACCTGTCGCCTTAACATTTTAAGTACATTAAACTGTGTGCATAATAATACACCTTAAGTTAAATCAACTTAAAATTTCCAAGTTGCAGTTGGTTTTTCTCACTTTTTTAAGTTAAAAGTCAACTTGTCGATTTTAAGGCAACAGGTTTACTCACCTTTTTAAAAGTAGAGTATAAAAAAATAACTTGTTACAGTGTAGAGCAGGGGTGGGCAAACTCAGTTCTGGAGGGCCGGTGTCCTGCACAGTTTAGCTCCAACTCTAATCAAACACACCTGCTTATAGATTTCTAGTGATCGAGAAGACACTGATTAGCTTGTTCAGGTGTGTTTAATTAGTGTTGGAGCTAAACTGTGCAGGACACCGGCCTTCCAGGACCGAGTTTGCCCAGGTGTAGATGAATGCTAATGAAATTTCTAGGACAGTTTAGAATCATTTATTCATTTTTTTTGTCAGCTAAGTCCCTTTATTAATCTGGGGTCGCCACAGCTGAATGAACCGCCAACTTTTCCAGCAAATTTTTACCCAGCATATGCCCTTCCAGCCGCAACCCATCTCTGGGACAGTTTAGAATCAAAATAATAAAGAAGAAATTACATTCTGATTCATTCATTAATTTTTCTTCAGCTTAGTTCCTCATTTATCAGGGGTTGCCACAGTGGAATAACCGCCAACTATTCCAGCATATGTTTTACACAGCGGATGCCCTTCCAGTACTGGGAAACACCCATACACACTCATAATTACACACAAACACTATCCCAATTTAGTTTACCCAATTCACCCAAACAGCATGTCTTTGGACTGTGGGGGAAACCGGAGCACCCAGAGGAAAGCTACGCCAACACGGGGAGAACATGCAAACTCCACACAGAAATGCCAACTGAACCAGCAGGAAATCGAACCAGCGACCTTTTTGCTGTGAGGCGATAGTGTTAATCACTGAGCCACCATGTCGCCCCTACTTTCTGATTACTTAATCATTACAATTTGATGACTGTGTTTGTTAAATTCTATATGTAACCTTTAAAAAAAAAAAATGAAATTGAGTGGGTTTATTTTAACACTGGCATACAGCTGGAAGTTAACTAAAATTATTTATATTCCGATTATTTTATTAAAGTACCCTTTAAATTGTATTTCATTACGTATACCCCTACCCCAACCCTATTATTGTTGCACAGAGTCACAAAAGGCACCTCACAGCAAGGAGGTTGCTGGTTTAAGTCCCAGCTGGGCCAGTTGACATTTCTGTGTGGACTTTGCATGTTCTCCCTGTGTTGGCGTGGGTTTCTTGCCGGTGCTCCGGTTTCCCGGAGGTGAATTGAATAAACTAAATTGGCCATAGTGTATGAGTGTGTGAAAGAGTGTGTATGGATGTTTTCCAGTACTGAGTTGCAGCTGGAAGGGCATCCGCTGTGTAAAACATAAGCTGGATAAGTTGGTGGTTCATTCCTCTGTGGTGACCCCAGATTAATAAAGGAACAAGCCGAAGGAAAATGAATGAATGAACGAACGAGTGTCACAAAAATTATGCTGTATTGATGTGAGTTTCCTCAGCTGTATCCCATCTTGATTTACCGCCATTCCTTTGAGGCGCGCGTCTGGTGTCACTATAGCAACGGCTCAAACACTGACACGTTGTAACAAAAGTTTGGAACGAATGGAATACTTGTTTGTGTGTGTGTGTGTGTGTGTTTCTATAATTTGAGCGCGCGTCTGGCGTCACTATAGCAACGACTCAAACACTGATACATTGTAACGAAAGTTTGGAACGTTTGGAATACTTCTTAAAAGTTTTTTGTGTGCGCGTGTGCGTGTTTTCTTTTTCTATAATTTGAGCGCGCACCTTGTAGTCTCATTTACGTGTAGCTCTAAAGTTTAACAAATACACGAGTTTATTCAGCTGCTGTGAGAAGTAAAGATGTCACAGACTTACAGCTCGCCAGTGAAGGTGGAGGAGCTGGAAGCAGAACTGAGCGCTCAGATACACTCTCTGAGGACTGAGATTGAGGACAAGGACATTTCACATCAAATATTCTCAAAACCATACAGGTCAGACAGATGATTGCATTTATAACTTTTATCACTTTCATTAATAAGTCGTGAACAGATGCGTACTTGAACTATGTATGCATTTAAGTTTTATTCATGGTTTTATTCATTAACTTGATTTGATTTATGCCTGAGATTTATTTCAGGTCACTAAAATCGATTGCATAACATCAGTAAAACACATATCCTATATTTCAGATTTTCATGGGTATTTGATTTACTTTCTATTTATTTATTTTTATTAAGCAAATTCTTTTATTCAATTGTTTTATTTAATTATTTTAAAATTGCTAGCGTCATTTAAAGATTATCCAAATCAAAAGTTTGTCTTGACATAATATACTGTATTTGTGTATTTTATATAATTATTATGTATACGTAATACATGAGCAATACAACACAATCTCACGGCAATTCGTAACTTTTTGATTTAGTGGCGAATTCATATAAATTCGTATGATCTAATTCGTCCAATTTAATACAATTTGCTCATCACCCAATGAGTGACCCACCACTGGTGCCACGCCTCCTTTTTAATATTGTACATTTTCGTACAACTGAACTCGTACAAATTCGTACGAAGTAGCCACTAAACTGAAAAAGCGTGAAATACGTTTCCTCGTGAGATCAGGCTGTAGCAACATCACACGAGCAGCAAAGCGATATGGCTGTATATCGGCACTGGTGGGAGGCGTGCGTTGGCTCGAGGGTGCAGGCCGAGTGCCTTATTGTCCCACTAGAGATAATAAACAGCCTGCTATGAGTGTGATAATGCATTTATACAACAGTTTGACAGCATAATAGTGTGTATAAAAAAAGAAAGTCAAACACGAAGTTTTAAAAAACCTTTTGTATGAACTATTTTCTTCCACCATTTGTTCACATCTGCAGCTGACGTCAGAACAGCAGAAACGGTTGCTACTTCACCAACGTCACTTTAGATCTAATGTTTGAATGATTCCCTAGCGTAATGTCTAAAGTGATCCCAAAACATTTAAGATTATAAGACTGAACGGCATGAAATGCCAACACAAGCTCATGGCAATTCATAACTTTTTGATTTAGTGGCTAATTCGTATGAATTCATATGATTGACTGAACTCGTACAAATTCATAAGAATTAGCCACTAAACTGACAAAACGTAAAATACTTACGTTTCCTCGTGAAATCAGGCTGGAGCAATATCACACAAGCAGTAGAGCGATATGGCTGTATAGTGGCACTGGTGGGAGGCGTGCGTTGGCTCGAGGCTGCAGGCCAAGAGCCTTAGTGTCCCACCAGAGACGATATACAGCCACATCACTCTGCTATGAGTGTGATAATGCATACATACAACAGTTTGATGGCATAATCGTGTATATAAAAAAGATAATCAAACATGTAGAGTTTTAAAAATCCTTTTGCATGAGCTACTTTATTCCGCAATTTGTATACATCTGCAGCTGACGTCAGAACAGCAGAAATGGTTGCTACTTCACCAACGTCACTTTAGATCTAATGTTTGAATGATTCCCTAGCGTAATGTCTAAAGTGATGACAAATCATTTAAGATTATAAGGCTGAACGGCATGAAATGCCATCAGTCTACAGAGATTTTCCAGTATTTCTCTGTTGTAATCAAGAGATCACAATAATTAACCCTGAAAATCCAAAGCAAACAGTACCAGATTACTTTGCTATAAATACAGCACTACAACATTTAAAAGAGAGAGATCAATTTAGAATGACATATACCTGATTTATAGTCATTTGATCAGCTGTAATTTGAAATTTTCGCTAATTATTTCTGTGATCATAAGGACTTATGCAGTCTTTGTCCCCATCTTGTGGCGAAACGTCAACCGTCTTTGCTCTGCTCAGTATGACACAGAACCAGACAGAACTGTTGTATAAACACATTTAACAAAACAAAATTACACAAAACTATTTCGTTACATCTATATTCAATTTTTTTGTATAATCTGTATCCTATACATGCTAAATTTATTTCTAAATATAAATGAAAAAATGTCAAATATATGCATGCATGAGCGTATTTATATACGCATAATAAATATACACAGCACACACACATTCAAGTCAAAACAAACTTTTATTTTGGATGCAAATAATCTGATTAATTAATGCGATTAATTTTTGCCCAGCACTAAAAATTGCTAAATTATATGTAATTACGTTTCGCTGACCTTTTCAGCTCTGTTCATATTCCAAAAGATGCATCTTACTTTCGTCTGGAGAGGCAGCGGGTGCTTCACAAAGCGCTGCAGGTGAGTTTTTACTGTTTCTTGGGTTGTATTAAAGGGGACCTATTATGCAAAACTCACTCAAGGCGTTTAAACACAATTGTTTGGGAACAGTGTGTGAATATAGCCAGCATGTAAAGTTAAAAATGTATTCATTTTATTTTTTCGTTATCATACTTGATTTAAACAGTCTGCAGAAACACTTTGATTGACATTCTCTCTTTGTACATGTCATCAGAGTGGAAAAGCCCCGCCCATTAGTGACAAGCTCCCTCTTATTAGCATAGGATGTCAATCTTGTTTTTGAATCTGCCACCATGCTGACACATAAGCATTTGTAGCTCTGCCCTCTTCTAAAAAGAGCACAGTCTCATTTGAATTTAAAGCGACAGTCACCAAAACGGCATTCACATCGTGTAAAAAGGGTCATAATAGGTCCCCTTTGAAGTTTTTAAGCTCCTGTGTATGCCTGCAGTGGTTTATTTGACATTTAATGCTGTCTTTGATGTAAATGTTAGGTGTCGTCCACTAAGCCTGTAGTTTCTCAAGCAGAAGTGGCTCAGAGAGAGATGGAGATCTGTCTGAATCAAGAGCACAAAGCCGACGGTTTGCCTTTACTGCTGCATCAGGTCCATTTCATTGAGATTCTTATTTTATAATACACTTATAGTTCAATCTTGTTAATCAGCTCTGAATTGAGAAGAAAAACGAGATTATTGTCGTTTTTAATCCTACACTCTCCAAAATAAAGGTATAAGAACCGATTTTTACCAAAATGGTTCAAATCGGTACAGAAAAGGAATTTATTCTTACATAAATTGAGCAAAATATAACCTAAAAATAGAAAAGTGTACGCTATAAAAAGGTGTCAGACACTGTTTTTGTATTCTTGTTTGTGGGAGTGTATATTTGATATAAATGTCATCACTGATTCTGTTTATTCTGTTTATACAGTGATTTAACCAGTTTAATCTTCTGTAATGAACATTTCTGATCATTCTGCCTCAGTTTTACACAGATCAAACGTATAAATTGGCACGGTGCAAGTACCTGCTGATGCTCAGATGGAGGAGATTTGGCCGCCATTCCACTGTCCTGGAGAAACTGTACCCCCAGTATAAAGTAAACATGAAATTCTGAATTATTTCATTAATTTGGTGTCAAAATGAATGCAATACATTTTGAATATTTTTTTGCAATTTGTTGGGGAATTCATGTGTATGATTTTATGCATTCAGTTGCAAAATAAATTCAGGAAATTTTGCATAATATTTTGCTATTAGTGGGAAAATTAAGGCATGCAATTTCAATTGTTTTTGTGCATTCAGTGGCAAAATAAATGCATGGAATTATTAGTAATTTTGAGTAATTGTATGCATTTAGTGGCAAAATTAATGCAGGAAATATTAAATATTTCTGTCCATTCACTGGCAAAAAAGTATCCATGAAATTCTGAATGTTTTTATGCATTCAATGTCAAAATTAATGATATTGATATTATAAATGTGATATATGATATTTTCTGTATTTTAAAAACATATAGTGGCAAAATGAATGCATAGAACTTTCAGTATTTTTATGCATTCAGTGGCAAAATTCCTGCATTAAATTTGTAATATTTTTGTGCAATCAGTGGCAATATTATTATTGCATGACATTTTGAGTAATTTTGTGCATTCAGTGGCAAAATGAATGCATGATATTAAAAAATAAATACATTTGCATTCAGTTGCCAAATGAATGTATGGAATTTTCTGTATTTTTATACAATTGCTGGAAAAGTTAATGCATGGATTTTTCTCAGTATTTTAAAATATTTTTTGTATTGGCAATATTAATGCATGAAATTTAAAATCTTTTATGCACTGAGTGTCAAAATTAATGCATGGAATTTGTAATATATTGTGCATTCAGTGGCAAAAATAAAGCATGCATTTCTTAATATTTTTATTGCATTCAGTGTCAAAATTAATGCTTAGAATGTTCAGAGTTATTAAGCATTAAGTGGTAAAATGAATGGATGACATAATGAGTATTTTTATGCCATCAATGTCAAAATTGATGCATGAGATTTTGAGTGTTTGTTTGCATTTAGTAGCATTATTAATGCATAAAATTTAGAATTTTTTGTGCATTTAGGTGCAAAATAGTTACATGAAATTCTGAATATTTTTATGCATTTAGTGGCAAAACAAATGCATGAAATTTGCTATATTTTTTGCGCATTCATTGGCAATATTTGTATTGCATGAAATTTTGAGTATTTTTATGCATTCAGTGTCAAAATTAATGCATGATATTTTTACATATTTTTATTTTTTGCATTCAGTGGCAAAATGAATGTATGGATTTTTTTTTTTTTTTGCATTCACTGGACAAATTAATGCATGGAATTTTATCAGTATTTTTAAATATTTTGTGCATTGGTAATATAAATCCATGAAATTTAAAATCTTTTATGCATTAAGTGGCAAAATAATTGATGCATTGAATTTTCTGTATTTTTGAGATTTTTTATGCATTGAGTGGCAAAATGAATGCATGGAATTTGTAATTTATTGTGCATTCAGTGGCAAAATTAAAGCATGCATTTTTGAATATTTTTTATGATTCAGTGACAAAATTAATGCATGGAATGTTCAGAGTTATTAAGCATTCAGTGGTAAAAAGAAGGATGATAAAATGAGTATTTATATGCCTTCAGTGGCAAAATTAAAGCATGAAATTCAGAATATTTTTATGCATTCCCTGGAAAAATGAAGCCATTGAATGTTTAGTATTTATTTATGCATTCAATGTCAAAGTTGATGCATGGGAGTTTGAGTCTTTTTATGCATTCAAGAAAAATGAATGCATACAATTTTGAATATATTTGTGCGTTTAGGATTCAAAATAATTGCATGAAATTCTGAATATTTTTATGCATTCAGTAGTAAAAAAAAGTGTGAAATTTAAAATATTTTAGGCATTCCATGAATTTTCAATAATTAAAAATATTTTTATCCATTAATGGCAAAATGAATGCATTAAATTTTGTGTATTTGTATGCATTCAGTGGCAAAATGAATGCATTCATCATGTCCCTGGTCTTTTGTTTAGAAGCAGATCACACATTTAACAACTGAATTTGAGGATTGTGTGTATCGTGCACGTCGTCTTGCCATATCCAGAGAGAAGGTGCTGCTGGGTTTGGAGAGTCCCATCGCTGTGATCACACAGGAGGACATCAACATTTACCTGCAGTGGCTCATTTGCCATCTGCACTCCGTCAAACACATCCACAACTTTCTGCATGTGAGGAAACACAATAATATAGCCGAATATTCAAGACCAGAAGTAATGATTATGGTTTAAAATTCGTAATGATTTAGGCCTTCATCATAGAAAATAAAAAAATAATAATTAAGGGGATACATTTCCACAATATAAAAAAAGTGTAAAAAAATTAATTTATTAATTTAATTAGACTTTTAAACATGCAATCATTCTGACTTTGCAAACATTTAAACTTCAAACTACAACAAACATATTTTTACGTTCCCATTTGATCTCCAAACAATAAAAGACAATTAATAAATAAAATTTGTTTTAGAGATTTACATTTCCCTCTTAGTGTCTATTACTGTATGTTTGTCGCTACAAAAGACATTCTGGTTTTATATTTTGTTACTTGCAGGTTCTTCATTATCTACTTTCCACTGAGTGGAATGACGATCACACGTCTATTGCTGGAGATCTGACGTCACCTGCATATTTTGATGGTAAAAACGCAATTTTTAAAACATGTTTAAAATGTTTAAAACATTTGGAAACACTCTCTTTAAATATTTACACAGTAATAGACTTTAAAAGCATGTACAAATGATAAAGTTTCACTTTGTAAGTATTCCACAAATCACACATGCGTTCTGAACTGCAGTGTCTGCTCTGCTATGATCCCTATTTGATGCCTAACTAATGCAGATGCACACCAAAGTGATTTTTTTTATTGTGCATCCGGGCAGCACAGTGGCTCAGCACTGTCGCCTTACTGCAAGGTCGTTGGTTTGAGTCCCGGCTGAGCCAGTTGGCATTTCTGCTGGCGTGGGTTTCCTCCAGGCGCTTCGGTTTCCCCTAAGATATGCAGCATAGGTGAACTGAATAAACTAAATTGGCCATAATGTGTGTGTGTGAATGAGTGTGTATGGGTGTTTCCCAATACTAGGTTGCAGCTGGAAGATCATCCGCTGCGTAAAACATATGCGGGGATAGTTGGCAGTTCATTCCGCTGTGAAGATCGCTGAAATAAAGACCAAGCTGAAGGAAAATGAATTAGAAAGGTTTTGCATCCATATATAATTAACTGAATAGTATGTCATGCATGAATCTGTTTTTTGACCCATCAGGGGTGTTTGTATCGATGTCAGAGCTTCCCTTGCTTTCGACCAATTTAGAGGATTTTAAAGTCCAGCTGGATTTTCTGCTGTCACATTATGACGTCGAGTACAACACAAACAGCATCAAGACTACAGCAGATGAAATGGAGCTGATCAGTCTGGTAATCCTGATCAAAATACACTAACATTTAATGCCTTTAAAAAATCTAAAACAACATACACTAACCAGCAATGAAATCTTAAAACCCAACGCATGATGAATTCTGTTGTATTCTGAAAAATAAACCATTTTATAATATAATGTTCACTACACTGAAAAAAGTGTTGCATGCAGAATTGTTGCAAACAATTTATTTGTGTTGAATTTAAACAAACAAATTAAGTTTAATAATGTTCAACTTAATTTGTTTGTTTAAATTCAACACAAATAAATTGTTTAGAACCTCTTAACATAAAAAAATTGAGTAAATCTAAGGAATCATCTTTGAATAATTTTTTTCAGTGTACCTGACAAAAGTCTTGTCGTCAATCCCAGTTGTAAGAGCAACAAATAATAACTTGACTTCTTGGAAAAGTGGCAGAAAGTCGATTTGTCTGATGAATCATCTGTTGAACTGCATCCCAATCATCACAAATACTGCAGAAGACCTGGAACCAGCATATGCCCAAGACTCTCACAGAAATCAGTCAAGCTTGGTGATGGAAAAATCATGGTTTGGGGTTAATTCAGTATTGGGGCATGCAAGAGATCTGCAGAGTGGATGGCAACATCAACAGCCTGAAATATGAAGACATTTGTGCTGCCCATTACATTACAAACCACAGGAGAGGGCAAATTCTCCAGCAGGATAGCGCTCCTTCTCACACTTCAGCCTCCACATCAAAGTTCCTGAAAGAAAAGAAGGTCAAGGTGCTCCTGGATTGGCCAGCCCAGTCAAAACACATGAACATTATTGAGCATGTCTGGGGGAAGATGAAGGAGGAGGCACTGAAGATGAATCCAAAGAATCTTGATGAACTCTGGGAGTCCTGCAAGAACAATTTCTTTGCCATTCCAGATGACTTTATTAATAAGTGATTGCAGAGATGTATGGATGCAGTCCTCCAAGCTCATGATGGAGTCAGACACAATATTCATTCTTTCTCCACTGCAGCATGACTTTATATTCTATACTGGACATTATTTCTGTTAAGTGACAAGACTTTTGTCTAAGCAAAGTCAGGCCTTACTGTCCTAATCAAATCATTAAAAATCAAGGCAGGATCAGGTTTTATTTTGGTAAAATAAACATAATCAAGAGGCCTTTGCCTTTCATATAAGCCAAGTCTGATACCAAATGATCAACTAGAAGTCAAGTTATTAATCGTTGTTCCTAAAACTTGGATAGGTGACAAGACTTTTGTCAGGTAGTGTAGATCATTAGATTATTAGAATCCACATAAATAAACTAATAATTAAAAAGTAATACTTTAGTATAATTCCCACTATTAATCACTTTCATTTCTATTACTTGTTTATTACCTTCTTGTTATTAAGATAATGGGTGTTTATTAGAACGTACAAAAGTATGATCTTATTCTGCATCTCTAATCCTACTCAAAATCTAAACCTAACATTTAATCTGTACTAACTTTCAATTCAATTCAGCTTTATTTGTATAGCGCTTTTACAATGTAGATTGTGTCAAAGCAGCTTCACATAAAAGATCATATAAATTGGAACAGTGTAGTTCAGTTTTCAGTGTTTAAGTTCAGTTCAGTTCAGTTCAGTTCAGTTCAGTGTGGTTTAATCACTACTGAGGGTCTTAACACTGGAGTGCAAATCCATCGATGTGCAGCTCTACCGGTCCCAAACCACGCAAGCCAGTGGTGACAGCAGAGAGGGAAAAAAACTTTACAAATTGGCGAAAGTGAAGAAAAAAAAACCTTAAGAGAAGCCAGACTCAGTTGCGCACCACCATTTTAATTTCTCCGCTGGCCAAAAGTCTTGTGCAGAGCTGTAGTCTCAGCAGCGGAGGCTGAAAGCTGGCCTCAGCGAAGACTCATCTGTCTCTGCACTGTTAGACCTTACCAGGCTTTTTTACAGTAGAACACTGGCAACACTGTTGCCAGTTGTTTACTGTAACCGTACCATTGCAGTGAGTAGCTGGCAACAGTGTTGCCAGTTAAATACTGTAATAGAGCAGTAGTGGTAACTAACTGGAAACTGTGTACAGTTAATAACTGTACTGTAGTGTTACAACTCACAGCATTATACTGCATACACAATAGTATGTCAAGGTGTTACTAAAATTAATTAGTATTCTTACCTGTTATTAATTCTTTAAATTAATTAAGTTGTAAATTCTGACAAATTTATTTTATTGTTTTGGCAGCAAACAAATATAAAACAGAAAATGTATAACAAAATGAAGAAATCAGCAGACATAAATATCATCTTACATATTACTGAGAGCCCCAGGTCTGCACAGCAAGGCTGCAGTCAAACTAACGTTTAAGCATGCAAAATTCTGTCACATGGCTCTGCGAAAAGGAGTGGGATTAAACAAAATATTTAGAGATTGAAAAAGCAAGCAACTGGTCCATAGTTTTTGTTTAGAGAGGTCATGGTTTGATCTTTGATTTGTCTCAAGCAATCACATGATGTGATTTCGCAGTTCAGAGTTCTCCAAACTTGAACTTTCCAATGCTGCAAACTGTAAAATTTGTCGCATGAGCATGCATTCCAGGTCAGCAGCATTCACATGCGTATGAATGGAAGTCTATAGGGAGAAAAGTTCAGTGTGACCGGGACTTTAAGCTGTAACTCTAATAAAACACACCTGATAAAACTAATTAAGGCTCGTTAGAAATCTACAGGTAATGTTGAAGCAGGGTGGGAACTAAACTCTGCTGCGCTGCAGTTCTCCAGTAACTTGGAGTTTGACCCCATGGTATATAGCAGGGGTGCTTAATCCTGTTCCTGGAGATCTACGTTCCCGCAGATTTCAGTTGCTACCCATATCAAACACACCTGCCTGTAATTATCACGTGGTGTTCAGGTCCTAATTCATTGGTTTAGGTGTGTTTGATATGGATAGCAACTGAAATCTGCAGGAAGGTAGATCTCCAGGAACAGGATTAAGCACCCCTGATATATAGCATACTTTTAAAGCAACTGCTAACATTTATCACAATCACATATCCAATAAACACACACACACAAAGTGCTGCAATGAAATGTGTTACTCTCTCCTCAATGCTGACCATGCAAAAAAAAAAAAAAAAGTTTAAAATAATTATAGAAAACAAAAATAAAGTTGGCAACACCGAAAAACCAAAGGATCCAATCTTTTATTGTTATAATTATCTCATGACAACAAACTTTTTTATTGTTTCAAATATAAATTCATAGATGAAAACACAGCTCTGAAAAATACTTAGCAACAAACTCACAACCTGGGACCTGACAGTGGAGCTTTTGTGTGTGGATGGCTATGTGTATCATGTTTTTGTGACTCCCTGTGATGATGTGCACATGTTACCTTACTGAGATGATGGAATTTAATTTTGGCTTAGTTGCCAGAAAGATACATACAACTGTTAGCATCTGTACATTATGGCAGTATGCAATATCCAATAAATACATATACTTAAACAAAAGTAATGTAAGAAGTTATATGAGGAGAGGCTAACTAGCTAACAATGTAGCTTTCAAGTACACAGTTCAAGATAACAACAATATAACTTAAAACACAGCCTTATTTTATAAACCCTCAAAAACATTTTAACACATTTTACTTACTCATTTTAGATTCTTATTTAAAGCCTAAAACATATCAGACTCAACATCTGAATTGATGGACAGAGAATAGAGCACACTCAGCAGTAAACAAATCAAACACCTGGCTCTAATTAAACACACCTGATCAAACTAAATGTAAAGGTAGTGTGTTGAAGCAGGGCTGGAACTAAATTCTACTAGGCTGTGGCCTTCCAGGAGTTTGACACCTCTGGTACATAGCATATTTTCAAAGCAACTGCCTACATTTATCACAGTTATGCACATATTGTTTAATAAAAACAATAAAAATATACTTTAATATAAACTTCATCCATAGAAAAAATAAATAAATAAATAATCTAATTATCATGTTGTTCCAAATCTGTAGTAATAATAAAAAACACAACAAATATCATGATTTATACATTTATTTAGGAAAGCCTTTAAACTGTTAATGGCACTTTTACTTGCCAGTTTTACAGGCAAATTCATTGAGTCTCTGCAAAAATGTATATGCGTGTTGTTTAAGATATATATATTTTTTAAATAACACATTTTTACTAGTTATTTAGCAAAATACTAATATTCAGTTGAAAGTGCGATTTAAAATCTTAACTATAGGTCAAACTAGGCAATTAAATTAGATTAATTATAGAAAAAGTAAACAAAGTTATAAAAATTATTGTGACAATTTCTTTGCTCTGTGTGAATATTTTTGCCTTTAAATGCATTTCGTCCATATCTTACACTTACCTTTTAATAAGCTCTGTGGTATTGGTTGACTCCTGATACTCAATGTTAAAAACATAAAAGGAACCAAAGAAAACACAGAGATAAAATAAATATAAAATAGCAACATAAAGCATCAGAGTAGATGGAGCAGTAATGGTTGAACAGTAATTTACCATTTATTATCACAGTAAATATCTGTAATGGTACATAGAGTAAATAACTGTAATTTATTCTTTGCACTACAGAATTTCATACAAATCCTGCTCCTTTTACAGTAAAATACTGTTTCTTTTCATTACAGCTAAACACTGGCTATTTTACAGTTATTTACTGCATAATCTACAGTAAGGGTTAACAGTGTGGGGCATCACAGGAATCAGTCTCATACTCTCCACTCCTCCATGACCACCACAGCAGCTGCTCAGGATACGGCCTGGTCCAGGATATGGAAACCTTGGGATCATCTCGTCTTTGGTCTTGAATCGAATCAGTGTCTCTGCACAGTCTGAGGCCCTCGGGATGAGTATCCCCAGGTGGAAATGGAGAATAAAGAGAATAATTAGCGTAGCTGCTGTATATAAACTAGTTGAATAACTGTTAATAAGCAGCTAATGATTAGTTATAATATTTTGTATTAAAGGTTTATTGCCTACCATTGAAAAGTTTTCTTTTATTACTCAAGACATGTTTGACAGGAAAGTTCATAATTCTAAGAATAACAAACATATTTTAATGTCAACCTGCAAAAACATAATATACATTTGGATAATTTTAGGACAAAAAAGATACATGATTATTTCGATTCTATACAGTAGAGGAAATATGTATTAAACACGTCATGTGATTTCCTAAGAATAATAATTCTTAAGGAGCTGTTGGCATGAAATTGAACCAGATTTGGTAAAAAACCCAAACAATACAAACATAAAAATAAAACAAAAAAAAATCAACAAGATCTTTGAAATGATTTATGTGTAATAACAATGGAATGACACAAAGAGAAAGTGCTGAACTACTGAAATGTATTTAATACTTTATATAAAAGACTTGTTTGGTGATGGCAGCTTAAAGACGCCTCTCATATGGAGAATGAAGTCACATGTGTTGCTCAGGTGTGAGTTCTCCACAGACCTCAACAGAGTGTTAAAATCTTGATGGTGCTGTGGGTCTCGTCTATCAAATCTGAGCTTTATTTTGTATTTTCTATATTGGATTCAAGTCAAGTGATTGGCTAGGCCATTCTACAGCTTAATTTTCTTTCTCTGAAAGCATATGAGCGTTTCTTTGGCTGTTTTTGGATCATTGTCTTGCTGAAATGTCCACCCTGGTTTCCTCTTCGCCCTCCTGCTATTGTAGATGTTGGACTGAAGCAGCTGATAATCATTTACAATGATGAAGGGCAGAGGGTTGCTGAAGAATTACTGAGAGATTTCAGCTGTTGTCTGGGCTTTTAAATTATATAGATTTCTTTGTTTCTTACTATCTAGTGAAAATATAAAGTCACAACACCTTTAGAAATATGTTTTCTGAGAAAAATGATGGAGTGTTCAATACTCATTTCCCCCACTGTAGGGTGTATGTAAAGGAATATAACATTTGTATAAAATGTATATCAGGAAAACATGATAAAAATATCAAAAATAGAACAAAAAACATTTTTCTTTAAATATTGTATCCTTAGTTGATCTTGCAGTTTTTGCTTGTAGCAGTGATGTTTATTTCACTCAACAATGAATATGATAAAAGATAATAATGATAAATATGATAACATAATAATAAGGAATAAATTATTAGAAATAATAATTATGATTATTTTTGGATACACTAGTAACTTAATGGGCTCTATTTTGACGGTCCATGCGCAGAGCGCAAAACGCAGGGCGCAAACGCTTTCAGGGCGTGTCAGGACGCGTTTTTGCTAATTTAAGGATGGGAAATCTGCCTTGCGCCAAGGCGCATGGTCTAAAAGGATTGAGTTTATTTTCTTAATGAGTTATAGGTGTGTTTTGAGAATAAACCAATTAGAGTCTCATCTCCCATTCCCTTTAAGAGTCAGCTGCGTCTCGCCAAGAGCGCATTCGCTATTTACAGGACGCATAGTAAGTCTAAGTGGAAAAAATGAGCATTTCACAAGCAAACAGTTAACAGTTGACAGTTTTTTAACAGAAAACTGTTAAACAGAGCATCTACTGCGTGAGAATGAGAGATAATGGATCTACTTTCACATTTGCTCTTGGATAGGGAAACCTTTACGCACAGACATCAATTAGTCTATAAATAAATACTTTTGTTTGTTAAGCGCAAATATTCGTTTCAAAACTATTTCTAAATTCAGTTCTAATTTCTAGCAAACGAATAAATGAATAATAATAACGAAGTGTGCTCAAAAACCTGAGTTATATCCTAAAACACATGCTGTGCCCCATATGGTCTAAAACCTGACAGGTGGGCAAATCTAAGCTTGTTTTAATAAAACAAATATAAATATGGATATAATAAATAAAACTGCTAATAATAATAACTATACAAAAGCAAATTGTTATGAATGAACTGAAAAAGCCTCTCGAGATGAAGAAGACATAAAAGCAGTGATTTTTCATATTTATGTAGGCTAGAAAATAATATGTTTTGTAATATTTTAATCCTTTATATTTACATCCTATATCTATTCTTATTATATCCTATATATATATATCCATATTATTTAAATTTTTTCATATGTAAAGATATTTGCCTATTGCACTCTTGTGCGTATTAAGCAGTGTGTAAGCGAGGCGCAACTCTGCGCCGGAGTTTAGACCGGGTTTGTTTTGGTCTAATGAAAAATCTATTATAGTTTCTCAAAATAGCAACGCGCCAGCGGTCCGCCTCAGAACACCTTCCTTTTTAGACCAGAACGCCTATGGGCGCACATATGAGCGCTAATGCATTTGCTATTTAAACAGCGTAGCGCAACGCCTCAAAACGACTTTTGCGCCAAGCTGAAACTAGCAAAACACTATTGAGCAGCGCCTTGCGCCACGCTGCGCCGGGTGTATGATAGGGCCCAATGTCTTAAAACCTTTGAGTTTAGCTTTTAGGTAAGGTTTTACAGGGCAGTTAATGTCTAAATATTGGCCCTATAAAGTGTCAAATGTTATTTCTGCTGTATATCCGTAGGTTCTGTATGTGTTCAGGACTGTGTTTAAACAGCAGGAGGAGATGAAGATCTTCCTTCAGTATGACAGCACTGAAGCCACGGACAGGAGATTTGGCAGAAAGAGTCCAAACATGACGCTCAGAAAACAGGCCAGCTGGATTCCTCATATTCAGGTGCAAGGTTTTTTCAGGAAACCAAAATTAAAATGTTTGGTCAAAAGCTATTTTTGTTAACTGAAATTAAATAAATAACTCACCATTTGTATGGTTTTAGCTTTTTTATTTTATTACTTAGAAGTTTGCGCAAGAGTAAATGTAAGCTGTTTATACAATAAACTTCGCTTTGGTCAACTGTAAACATGTTCTCATGTTTAACTCAGCTAAACTAGAATGACTAAAACTGAAGATAAATAGTAGGTAGTGCTGTCGCCTCACAGCAAGAAGGTCGCTTGTTCAAGCCTCGGCTGAGTCAATTGGCGCTTCTGTATGGAGTTTGCATGTTCTCCCTGCGTTTGCAAGGGGTCTCCTTCGGGTGCTCCGGTTTCCCCCACAGTCTAAAGACATGCGCTATAGGTGAATTGGGTAAGCTAAAATGTCCGTAGTGTATGAATGTGAATAGGTATGTATGGATGTTTCCCAGAGGTGGGTTGCAGCTGTAAGGGCATCCGCTGCATATAACATGTGCTGGATAAGTTGGCGGTTCATTCCGCTGTGGCGACCCTGGAATAATTAAGGAACTAAGTCGAAAAGAAATGAATAAAGAATTGTGATGAAGAAAAAATAAATAAATTAAACTAACACAACCTTTAATATAGCAAAGTAAAATTAGTTTAAAAATGATGTTATAACAAAAAATTAATTTTCAAAACGATAAAAACTATTTAGGTGAAACAATCCTACAGTATTTAAAAATATGTAATATTTTATGCAATAATACAATGTCTGAAAGTGTTGCCTCTTTCTGTAAACAAACAGATGAAACCAAAGCGAGATCCTTGGCAGCAGAAACAAATGGCCAAACTGAAGGAGCTCAGATTGATGGATGAACTTCTGCAGATGCACAGCAGCCTTCTGGAGGTGAAATTTAGCGAATGCATAAACATTTACGATTCCTTTGGTTAATCATGCATGCCGTTTATTTGAAGACATACTGAGAGCACTACATAATAAAGTTCCATAAGTTAACAACTTAATTATCATGAACAGACAACGTAAAATAACATTTTGTTAATATTAGTTAACATTAATTTCTATGCATTATTATAATATAAAAGTGTATCTGTTAATATTATTTAATGGACCTGAGGTAACGTGACCTCACAACGAATGGTTAAATAACATTTACAAAGGTGAACAAGTGCTACGACTTATTGAATGTTTTTTATTTATTTATTGTTCCCCTTCGGTTGGGGAACTTCAGTGCCATTAGTGGATGAAATCCACGATGGGAGGATTCGGATCAGAAGCCGCTTGTCTGGAGAGTATTGAACGGGCCAATGAATGAAATTAATTGGCAGCGTAAGCTTGCGCAGGTGTGCGGCATCTGCAATTATCTCAGCATATAAGCACACCTGAAGCCAGCAGACGCCATCCTTTTCGCTTCAGATCCTTTCTGAGTGAGTCGATGAGGGTTCCTCTTGCTGATCAGCACTTCAGAGCGAACGAGTGTGTCTCCCGGTCCAGAGTGGGTCTTCGCGGTGGCAGACGGTCGAGCTGGGTTTCTCCCTTGCCTGCGGTTCTTTGGGTCCGGTCCTCCAGAGCGGTGCGTATTGTTGCAACTTTCCTAAAAGAGCAACACAGTCGTGCAGCACGTCCTTTTCAGGATGGCGCTCCGACTGTGCGTTTCTGGATGCGGGGGTTTCCTGGCTCCGGATGATGGACATGATCACTGCATTGCATGTTTGGGGGTCCAGCATGTTAATGCGGTGCTCGCGGGCGGTTCATGTCGTCATTGCGATGCCATGACTGTTGCACAGCTAAGATCGCGGCTAACTTTCGCAAGAGAGCGAGCCACCCCAGTTGCCTCCTGTTCTAAAAAAGCAGTGGGCGCTCGGGCAGATCTGAGGGTTTTAGCGGGAGATAATCTGCCGCCCACGGGCTCGCGGACCTCTCGCTCCTCACGGCGCTCCATCCAAGCTTCGGGTAGTGGGAGTGATCCGTCTAACCAGATGGTAGCTCTCACACTCGCTGACACCGGAGATCAGATGTCCTCCGGATCAGATGTCCTGCATCGGAGGGTGGGCTTTCACTGTCCGACGAAGATCCGGACCCGCTCGCCCCCTCCGGGCAGGTGAGCACTGTCAAATCGGATCCTGAAGCGGACATGTTAGCCGTGCTTTCCCGGGCTGCTTCGGCCGTGGGGTTGGAGATGGTTTATCCCCCAGCTCCGCGGCCGGACCGACTAGATGGGTGCTACGTAGAGGACCAGAAGGCGAAGCCTTCGAAGCCTCTCGTCCCCTTCTTCCCGGAAGTGCACAGTAGGCTCACGCAGTCTTGGAGGGCACCTTTCTCTGCCCGTGCTGCGTGTGCCTCCGCCCTCACCGCCCTTGACGGCGGAGCTGCCAGGGGGTATGAGGCGATCCCGTCAGTGGAGCGCGCTATCGCGGTCAATCTTTGTCCGCGCGGCGCCTCTATGTGGCGGGGTTTGCCCCGCCTCCCGTCCAAAGCCTGTAGGTTGTCTGCCTCCCTCGGAGCCAGAGCTTATAAGGCTGCGGGCCAGGCTGCTTCTGCTTTGCACGCGATGGCCACCCACCAGCGCTACCAAGCGCAGGCGCTGGCCGAGCTGCACGAGGGCGGGTCCAACCCAAGCTTATTACATGAGCTGCGCACCTCGACCGACTATGCTCTTCGGACTACTAAGTCCGCCGCGTGTGCGCTGGGGAGGACGATGTCCACACTTGTGGTTCAGGAACGCCACCTCTGGCTAAACCTGCCCGATATGCGCGATGTTGACAAAGTTCGCTTTCTTGACTCGCCCATATCCCAGGCTGGCCTGTTCGGCGACACCGTCGGTGAATTCACCCAGGAATTCAAGGCGGTGAAAGAGCAGTCGGATGCGATGGGCAATGTCATCTATCGGCGTGGCCGTAAGCCCGCTCCGCCCGCCGAGCCATCCACCTCCACTGTTCCTCGCCGGGGGCGCCCGCCAATGAGTGCTGCCCCGCCCCCGCCTGCGCCTCTGGCCAAGCTGGCGCGGCGTACACCTCGAAAGCAGGCAGCCCCTCCTGCCCAGGGCGCCGTTAAGTCCGGTAAACGGACCGCGAAGCGTCCCTGAGACAGGCCATCCGGAGAAGAGGAAACTTGCTCTTTCCCCGCTGGAGGGCGGGGCCCCGATAACAACGGTACTTTTCAGTGCCACCAAAACATCAGTAAAAGAGCACTTTTTCCCTTCCCCGGATGTGACTGCACGAGTTCTGCCAGTCCGGGACGCGCTGCCTTCCGGCTCGCAGACTCTACGTGCTTTGCCAGTGGCTCACGAGCGCTGGGGGGACGGTCTCCCTTCCCTCAGCCCTCCAGCCCCCTCTCCAGAGTCAGGGTGCGGAGCCAGAGCGAATCGCTCTCCTCCAGCTCTTCCGCGGGACCCTCGTGCTTCCCGGATCAGCACACCCACTCCGCGCTGCCCCACCGCTGGTACGTCAGCGATTGTAGCGATGACTCCATTAGCGAGGGCTCTGCCTGCCTGGTTAGCGCGGGCCAGCCCCTCGCGGTGGCTCATACGCACAATCAGACTCGGTTACGCGATTCAGTTCGCGAAACGGCCCCCCAAGTTTACGGGCGTGTATTTCTCCAGGGTCAACCCCCTGTCCGCCCCTGTCTTGCGAGAGGAGATTGCTGCCCTCCTGGCGAAGGGTGCAATCGAGCCGGTTCCTCCAGCCGAGATGGAGAGTGGGTTTTACAGCCCATACTTCATCGTACCCAAAAAGAGCGGTGGGTCACGGCCAATCCTAGATCTGCGCGTTTTGAACCGCTGTCTGCACAGGCTGCCGTTCAGAATACTCACGCAGAGGCGCATTCTCCAATGCGTTCGTCCTCAGGATTGGTTTGCAGCCATAGACCTGAAGGACGCGTATTTCCATGTCTCCATTCTTCCACGCCACCGCCAATTTCTGCGGTTTGCGTTCGAGGGTCGAGCGTGGACCAGTGCAAGGTCCTCCCCTTCAGGCTCTCTCTGTCTCCGCGGGTCTTCACCAAACTCGCGGAGGGTGCCCTAGCGCCCCTTCGGCTCGCGGGCATTCGCATACTCAATTATCTCGACGACTGGCTGATTTTAGCCCACTCGCGGGAGCAATTGATTATGCACAGGGACAAGGTGCTTCGGCATCTCCGCCTACTGGGGCTTCAGGTCAACCGAGAAAAGAGCAAACTCGCCCCCGTGCAGAGGATTTCTTTTCTCGGGATGGAGCTGGACTCGATCACCATGGTAGCGCACCTCTCCGAGGAACGCGCTCGCCTGTTGCTGAACTGTCTGAGGGAGCTTGACAGCAAACTAGTGGTCCCACTGAAGTTCTTTCAGAGGCTCCTGGGGCATATGGCATCCGCAGCCGCCGTCACGCCGCTCGGGTTGCTCCATATGAGACCACTTCAGCACTGGCTTCACGATCGGGTCCCCAGACGCGCATGGCACGCGGGCACACACCGGGTCTCGGTTACTGCGCTGTGTCGCCGCGCCCTCAGCCCTTGGAACGACCCCTCGTTCCTACAGGCCGGTGTGCCTCTAGGACAGGCGTCCAGCCATGTTGTTGTTTCAACAGACGCTTCCAACACGGGTTGGGGGGCCGTGTGTCGCGGGCATGCGGCTGCGGGCCTGTGGAAGGGTGCCCAGCTGCATTGGCATATCAATCGCCTAGAGCTGTTGGCAGTGTTCCTCGCTCTCCACCGCTTTTTACCGGTGCTGGAGCGGCAACACGTGCTGGTCAGGACGGACAGTATGGCGGCGGCGGCGTATATCAACCGCATGGGGGGTATGCGCTCTCGCCGCATGTCTCAGCTCGCCCGCCGTCTGCTCCTCTGGAGTCACCCGCGGCTGAAATCGCTGCGCGCCATTCACGTTCCAGGCACGCTCAATCGTGCAGCCGATGCGCTCTCACGACAGCTGTTATGCCCTGGAGAATGGAGACTCCACCCCGAGTCTGTTCAGCTGATATGGGCGCGATTCGGGGAGGCCCAGATCGATCTGTTTGCTTCCCCCGAGAACGCTCACTGCCAGTTGTTTTTTTCCCTGACCGAGGGCTCTCTCGGCACGGATGCACTGGCCCACAGCTGGCCTCGGGGCATGCGCAAGTATGCGTTTCCCCCAGTGAGCCTGCTCGCGCAGTTTCTGTGCAAGGTCAGGGAGGACGAGGAACAGGTTCTGCTAGTTGCGCCCCTTTGGCCCAACCGGACCTGGATATCAGAGCTCTCACTCCTCGCGACGGCCCTCCCCTGGCGGATCCCTTTGAGAGAGGACCTACTCTCTCAGGGACAGGGCACCATCTGGCACCCTCGCCCCGATCTTTGGAACCTCCACGTGTGGTCCCTAGACGCGAGGAAGACTTAGGTAACCTACCGACTGCGGTGGTTAATACCATCACTCAGGCTAGAGCCCCCTCCACGAGGCGCGCCTACGCCCTGAAGTGGAGTCTATTCACTGAATGGTGCGTCTCTCGCAGAGAAGACCCCCGAAATTGCCAGATTAGTGTTGTGCTCTCTTTCCTTCAAGAGAAGTTGGACAGCAGGCTGTCGCCCTCCACTCTCAAGGTTTACGTGGCCGCCATCTCCGCTTATCATAGCGCGGTAGCTGGCGGCACCGTGGGAAAGCATAACCTGGTCATCCAGTTCCTTAGGGGTGCTAGGCGAATTAATCCATCTCGCCCCCCTCTCATGCCCTCTTGGGATCTCGCCCTCGTTCTCACGAGTCTGCGATCCGATCCCTTTGAGCCACTCGAATCAGTATCTCTAAGATTTCTGTCCCTGAAGACAGCTCTGCTGGTTGCGTTGGCCTCCATCAAGAGGGTCGGGGACCTGGAGGCATTTTCGGTCAGTGACTCGTGCCTGGAATTCGGGCCGGATTACTCTCACGTCATCCTGAGACCCCGCCC